GCCCAACACTTTTACGGCCAAGTTTGAGCCCCGACAGCCCTTGACCCAGGCCGCGTCGGGAGCGGACTTTCGATATTTTGGACAAAATAAAATTTTAAATAATAAAGTATGAGAAAAAGAAAGTCCGGTCTCAAAACTTTGCAGGAAAACTTTTTTTCACCCCCCAATTAGAAACTTCCTGCGCTTCCTGTGGTATCGTGACCTTAGCAAATTATGTTTTTTAATGGGGTACTGAGAAATAAAGAATCTTTCAACGTCAATTAAGATGATTTGTACGTTTCATTTAAAAGAAATATATACATATTTATAAGAATTAAATTGAATTTTTTTAGATTACCGCAAATATGCAAATACATGTATGTAGGTCTTTATATGTGCCCATAATTATGAAAGTGGTCTAAGTCATATATTTTTTGTTTCGAAATTACATTGAATTAGTTTAGTTTGAAGTAATGTGGCGTGAAATAACTGATAAACTCATTTTTTTTTCAATTTTGACTTAGACCACTTTCATAATTATGGGCACATATGTCAGAAGACATATATATATGTTCCTTATATGTTCCTTGAGCTTGAGATATAGACATTGTTATCTCTATCACGTCATAAAGCTTATCGACAAACTAAATTGCCAATGAATTCGGTAGTTTTAAGATGAAATGAAAGGCGATGAGAAATTTCATCGACGTAGATAAAATACAATTCATCTATACCCTTTTTGCTGGTGATGCCATTTTAAATACTCAACTGGTAACATAAACTGGCGCGTCCCTTTATCGACATTTATATTAATGTTGAATTTTTTTTACAGTCTACGTTGAAAATTGAAGCGTTCCATATGTTATCTCCAATAACGTATCGATAAAAAGATCGATGTAAAACTGTCGAAATCCCGTAAATTCATCATTCTAACGCCTCTTTACGACCAACATTGCCATCTGTGACGTTTAGCTACAACTAAATATATGCCCCAAAAGTTTCGAGAAAAGCCAGCATTTTTTTGCAATCGTTGGTGAAAGTGTTTTCCATATTTTCCCATCTGATTCTGTAATATTCCATTTCTACGGTATTCTAAATTGTTCGAGCTAGGTCCTGAAACTCTTCATTTGCGATTCTAAGCCTCCACGAAGCGTAAGACATCGAAAACGTGTCCGGACAGCGCCATATTGGTTCGAGTCCATGATAAATAAATTAATTTTTGATGAGAAATGAAATTTCATGAGTTTCAGGACCTACTTCCCTAGTAACATAGAATCATTTTTAAATATTTGTTAGTAATCTTTGTTGAATATCTCAAGCGAAAGATTTTTTAAGATGTCTTATAGATTTCATTCAGATATCTGAAACATTTGTTGAAAATCTCAATGTCACGTTTGGTTCTAATAATTTATAAACCTGCATATATAGGAATAATATTTTTCAATTTATGAACATATAATAAAAATGCATTTTTTACTTCACGATTATAATCGGACACTTAATTTTGTATCAATAAACACGACAAATTTTTGTAATTTTTCCATTCCGCTTTTTTATTGTGAGAGCAAAAACGTATAATTTTGATTCTAAACATCTTTAAAACGTTTATAATGTATTCGGCAGGTAATATTTAGAAATTACTTATATTAAGATGAAACAAAATGTTTTGTATGTCTGTTAGAAGAATATTATGAAAACACATGGCGGTAATATTATACAAATTTTACAAAAGATAATATTCTGAAGTAAATGTCTTGCAAACATCTCAAATGTCTGCTAAATATTTACAAAATGTACGATATTCGCTAAATATATAGAAAATATAAGGCAAATATTTTATAAATATAAAAATAATATTCTGAAGTAAATGTCTTGCAAATATTTCAAATGTCTGCTAAATATTTACAAAATGTACGATATTCGCTAAATATATAGAAAATATAAGGCAAATATTTTATACTACCAGGGTGTGAATATTCCTAATTCATTAACCTAATTATCAACCGAAAGTGAGGAATAATTGAATTTAAGATAAAGTATTACCCGATGGGGAAATCTTATCGGGTATTACATTGTTCACATCGTATGTCCGAGTTAGATAGCATTATTAATTAATAATATTAATAACTTGATAAATAATTGCCTTACACAGAAATGAAAAAGGAACTTTTGACATGCATTAGGATCAAGATTCAGAGCTTTGGGACATTTTGTATAACCATATGATTACATATCGCTTAAAGTATAGAAGTCTACGCGTCAAGAAAATATCGTAGATGTAGTATGTTTATGCAAATAGTGAAAATCCATTAATCTATATACTAACTGGATAAGCTAATACCTATTTGTTCTATTTGGAGAGGACTTCTACGAATTCAAGACATACCAGCGCCCCCACGCATGCGCAAAAGTTTTGAACCGTCAATTTGTCAATCCCGGTAGTATCAAATGTTGAACCGTCAATTCGCGAAGGTAAACGTTCAATGTATAAGGGGCATAAGAGACATAATTTACGTGTAAATTGGTGCGTTGGGCAAATTGTAAGAAAGCGTCGTCTAAAACAAAATGATTACTTTTTTTCTCGTAATTATTTGAATAATAATGATAATTATTTTTTTTTCCAACATATTAATTTGACCCCTCTTATACTATCTACTGTTGAATGACGCGTCGTTTTGACGCATGGGCAAATACTCCGATATGAGTTGATGTGTCCATGACCAGAGGCGCTGTGGTCACTTTGAAACATCACGCCACTTTGTAGGATATCAGCTATCCAGTTAGTACATAGATCAGTGTGAAAATCATATGGATACACACAAAAACGCTTAGTAGCTATTTAAATAACTGTCAATTTTGAATATTAATATTAAGCACGGAAAAATGTAAATGACAAAAGTGTACATACTTCAATGTGTAAAATTGAATGGAGAATGATTTATATGCATATAATACATATCTACCACCAGATGGCATAAGAGTTAGAAGATCCTGAGCCATTTCAGGACATCGAAAAATGTATGAAGATATTCAGAGGGCCGTTCGCGAAGTGTGTGATTAAGGGGATGGGAAAGTGGCATCCGAAAAGTCAATCGTTCAGGAAACTATGCTCCGAACTCCGAACTCGTTTCAAACTTTACAACGCGAATGTGGTGACTATAAGGAAGGTCCTGACACTCGTCAAATATCAATTATTACACCATTTTTTTATAGATATTTTTTACGAAAAATGAAGTTTCATGATTTTCAGGACCTTCCTTACAGCTTTCATTTTCACGTTGTACAGTTTGAAACGATTTGATATACTTAGTTCGGAGAGAAGTTTTGTGAACGTTTGACCCCTCGGATGCCACTGTCATGTCCTCTTAAAACAACATATGGGACATTATTTGTCAGGCGACCCCATCTGAAAAATACCTTTTCGGATCGGGATTAAATTAAACCAATTCTTAGTTTTATATTAGAATTTCACAGGCCAAGGCATAAGCCCGTAAAAAAACACTTAAGACACCCAAGCAGAGAAGTCAAAGTTTGGACTTTTATACGTACATTCCTAACTTTAAACAACAATAAATACTACAAAAATAGAAAGATTACCTTTATCGTAGATCTTTGAATTTGGCTGTTCGCAAACTTTTTAATGATAAGAAAATTTAAAGAACAATTCTGACCGCGAAAGCTTAAAATGTTTAAACCTCATTTAGGACGCTTTTTCCCCGGTTTATTAAAAATTTGATTGCACGCTCAAATTTCTCAAACCAGATTGGTAGATTTCCTCCCACACGATGCCGGATTATTCGATCTTCGCTATTGGACGAGCTTTGTCATGCCAATCAAAATGCAGTTTAACACTATAGGAAGGAACTTTCCAAAAACCGTGGCTCATATCATTAGTCCTCTTCTTCAAAGTGAACGGTTTGAATATATTAGTCCAAATTTTGACTTCTGCGCATATACACTCTTTTGTTTATAAATCTATGACTTGATGTGTAAAATTCCATCGGATAAGGGTTTCAAATTAAACTTATTTGAGGCCGAAATGAAAACTTGATAATTTTCAGATGGAGTCGCTCGACAAACAATGCCCCATATCTAAAATCCTTAAGGTACACGGTCACAGTGCAACCGTATACACAGGTCTAGAAACTTCTATCGTGGAAGAAGATCGCAATTTTCATGTACTTTTTACCACTAGGGTCACTGTGATAAAGTAAAGTCTGCGAAAAGGGGGGGGGGGGGATACAGTATTCCTCTTTGTCCATTTTGCGTCCATATATGAAACAGTTTTTCAAATCTTTCTTTGATATTACCTTACCGTATTATATTGCCGCTGGGTTACACCTTACAAAGAAATTTAATATAAATTACGGATCATTACAGAAATTTAGCGGAGCTTCCTCCGAGAGACCTCTGTATACGACCGTGGGTCGTACTAAATCACGCCTGCATACAATGGTCTTGAAATTATCATGGTGGAGACACGAATGTAGAACATGTAAAATCAAACGATTACATGGATATCCTTATGAAGATAACAGAACAGAAAGAAAGGAAAACCAACAAGGTTTTATTTTACCCTCCCCCCTCTTTCTAAGTGCTACCGTTCAGTAGGTTTTCGCCATTTTGGACTGCGTAATTCTTTTGTATAAAGTCTGTAGCATGAACGCGTAAACAAATCTTGAATTAGTTTTAAGACTTGTTTGCACGATCATGCTACATATATATTCAAAAAGACTTTCGAAGCGGCAATCCTTGGACGCTTCATTTTGGCATTATTCGCAATCACGTGACTTTTCCGTGACGCTAGCATAAGAGAAAAATGCAATTTTTCCATCTGCAGCGTAAACGTTGCCGGCTGTTTGTTGAAGTTTGAAACTTGATTAACGAAATGCATCAAATAATACTTGTTACCGTAATGCCTCTTTTTTGTTAATTCTATCAAAGTAAATAGTGCTACTGTTTTTTAATTTTACCTTACAAATAATTATCCCGAACGCACTGAACCACTTGTAATATTTATTTACAAACGTCACATCGGATGTTTTGAAGCAAGAGCGAATACGACGCTACGAACGGAGTTACTCAATTGTTAGCTTAGGTAGGTTTCTGATCGTTTGAGGCACAAATTTGACGCTACATAGCTTTTCATGACTGCAAACTAACGCCAGCGTCCTTTGCTGTTACGGGATCTATTTGATACTAAAATTGAGCGTTTAACGGCATATGAAAAGTTACCAATAGTTTTTAGGGTGTACGCACACTAAACTAATTATCTATGTAGCCTGTAATACACTCCAACAATGTCAATTTTGTAAAACATAATTTTCAATTTAAAATATCGCACAATGTTACTTTACACCTTTTCAATGATAAGTTATAATTTCCACATGCTGTGGGGTATAATGGAAATATTATCATTATAAATTGGTTACGAAAACATTAATTTTACAAATTATCAGAGTGGAATATTTTCCAGATAGTCTTACGAAACCGTTAAGCAGTAATAATCTATGATGCTTCGCATTTTCACAGGCCTGTATATTATGTAATAAATGATAAAAAACAACAATCAGTATTATACTCACGAAGGTGCTATATTCGAATGTCTTCACTAGACTTTATCACATTTGGCTCGCAACTTTTGAGACGATAGACTCTACTTTCGCATTTTCGCAGCTTCTTATAAATGTATTTGGCTCGAAAATGTATCGAGTCTTGTGACCATGACTGTATTTTCATTGCACCAAACTTATGTTACATGTCAAAACATAGCTCGGGTGTACGTAGAAGGAAATCAATTATCCTTAGATTTTGAATGTGATGCGATTTCTTCAAACCTATTTTGCATCTTACACTTGTGCCGAATTACGTTGCGTTCTCGCATTACGGAACATTTATACAATGCAGATATAAGCAAAATGATAGCAAAACAAAAGAGTACTTCCACGGTGTGATGTTCTAACCACGATATATCTCTTCCGTGATAACGCAGATGCCTTGCATTAGGAAACTTTAGAACGTGTTCAACGTGCCACAGAGCCCTATTTAAGGGCTTCACTGGTTCGTCCTTTAATATGTCCCCTAACTGTTTTATGTTCTTCGAGTATCTGAGATAAGGAGAAATTTTACATAGTACAAGTACATAGACTAGTATTTTTTGTATTCAGAAAATACTTACTTTGGGTTATCGATAACCTCACTGACCGCGTGCATTATCGTTTCCTTGGTCATGCTGTCAACGTTAAGATTTAACCCAATTTGTGTGTCCAATATCTTTCTAGCATTGAAATTCTGATCACCAAAAAATGGGATTGCAATAACAGGAACCATGTAGTGTACGGCCTCTTGCAAAGATTGCAAACCACCCTGCATTATATACGCCTTAACATTCGGATGAGCTGAAAACCAAAAATAAGATTATACATTGCTTTAGTCTTGCAAAACCGAGCCTACGCATTCCGAAATGAAACTGTTGAATCTGTCCAGCGAGATAAGAGCTACAATTCATCCACCTACCGAAGCAATGAAATTGTACAGACATTTTTTAGCGCGTTCATCTTTTTTTAATTCTTTATTATTTTTATTTTTTCTTCCGAATAATTAAAAATATTAAGTAAAAATGAGGAAATATAACTGTATACTGAAATGTTATATTTTTGTTACTATTCTTCAAAAATGAATTGATACGTTATTAAAATTGAGTGTTTTCAAATTTAACGAACACTTACCGAGAATAGCCTGCTGTGGTGCCCATTTTACAAATTTGATATTAGTAATGTTGAAAGATGCGTCATTATTATATTTCCATAAAATTCGGTATTTCAGAGCGCTAAATGCATCAAACAACGCTTTTAATGTCAGTGGAGGAAGTTGATGTCCCTGTAAATTTGATCCCAACGAAAAGTAAACAACTCCATCTTTGCCGGAATCTAGGAAATCCTGTATTTCCTACAACAGTTTTACATTCAAACCATTACAAAGGAAAGCATGAAACTGTGTTAAGGTTGCACCTGATTTGGTTCATAATAGGACAAGTTAGTAAAAACCAAAAGTGGCCTAAATCCCACTAACACGTAACATTATCGTTATTCTAGGAATACTAGCTGTTATCCCGATATTGCCTGGACTCGCTTCGTATTTTCCTTTTTTTTTAAATATATGATTTCGATGCTAAACGTTACTGTTTATGATATTTTTGTTTAAGTTATTACTTATAACGGGAAGGAAACGCAAGGAGAAAAGGTTTTCATATATTTTCAATCCAAGAATGATATTCAGGTATTCGGTTTTAAGTGGACCACTCACGATCGGTAGACGATAATAATACTTACAATCGGCAAAGGATCGGGGTTCTCCTGAATTTGTAAACTGTGCACTTCTACTACATTCGGTAAAAGAGGTTTGGGGTATCCAAGGACATGGTTATTTCCAAGTATTACTAAGCTAAAGTTTCGATCCACGTCGTAAACTGAAGTACCAGGAAACCATTTGTCAAGGATCCGTTGAACGCGAGGTAAATGGACATATCTGTAATATAACCGGCACCATGTTGTGTAGATAATGTTCCAGATACGTTCCTCCAACGTCATTCTATCTGTAAATGGATATGCCATATCCGGATTCAAGGTGGGATCATCTGGATTGCCTGCAACAATTTATTTTTAATTATTATTTCGCAGAAGAAGAATATACCGCTCAGTTCAAATAATATAGTTACAGTTTATACGGTACATGTTTTGTATTATGAAAATATTTCAATATTCAATTTTGTAGTGCCAAAAAAAAAGATTGTATAAGCCCGCGCCGGACGAGGGACAACGGTCGCGCCCCCACGGAACGTCGAGAGTCTTCCAGAGTCTTCCAGAGTCTTCCGCCCGCCGAGAAGCACGCCGTCACGCGATCCGCTCTGATTCGGAATGTAACTCTGATTTATAATAGATCAACCTGTGCTTTTGTCTTGAGACTACAGTTTTCTCTGGTACGTCCGACCCGGAAGAGACACTTTCTTCTTCCTGAACGGTATCGCTATTAGTAACCAGACCTTTAAGGTGAAGCGAAACCCTCCTTAAATCAGTCGATTCGAGTAAAATACTTTCTTTTAAGGGTATCGGACCAAACTGTCCGAAACTGACACATGACTCGTGATCACATAAGAATATTTCTTTGTAATTATTGTACGGAAGCGACATATGGAGTATGCCATTTAGTACAATACCTAATATAATTAGAAAAAGCAGTCACAAAACATACGGAAGTCGGTATCGTAGGTATTTAAAAGAATTCTTTTTACCGACGTCGATCAAATTTTTCGATGCGTTTAACTTCACTTTAATCCCCTGCAAGAAATTATTCCAATAGACCATGCTAAAAGGAAGCAATACGTGCAAAGAACTTTCGTGTTTTAATTTGGACAGTTTCGTCTCTATATTTTCTGGACTATACATTGCAAAGCCAGTGAATGCAGAAATTTCGGAAACGGAATACCGTTTAAAATGCCCTTACCTACTGAGTCCATAACGTAAGGTAAATTCCCAACACTCAAGTAGCCAATCAATATCGGGTAGTTGTAATGCTTTACAAGAGCATAATAGCACTGAAACCACAGCTGTTCAATGATGACAGCGTCAAAAGTTTCATTTCTCCTGCAATAAAAAGTTATCTAAATTTAAAGAGTGCTCAACTAAGGTGAAATGAAGTCCGTCGAGAAACTTAATCGATGAAACCAAACTTTTTTGACTGATATAGTATCCGAGATCAGGCTCTACGTTATCGTGATTTATATTTACGTTGACAGTTGCGTCGTATTACATTGGGTACACGGAACGGCATACGCCATACGTCGTTACGGTACAACGATTGCAAAGAGATCGAAACGGAACTGAAAAAATTCTCTGGATTCATAATTTTTGATGGTCCAATCAACTGTGGGGAATGATCGTGCCATGGACATATAATGTACCGCATGTACCGCACATTGAGTGCCGCTCGCAGAACGGTGAGAAAACGAAAACTGACTTGACCGCATCTACGCTTGCTTGCGCACGGCATCGTGCCGAAGGGAGCCCTCCGTCAGGTCGCCATTTTGGGGCAACGGGCTCTTTCGGGCGGAGTCGACCGGATCGACCGCAGGGCTTGTGAACGTCAAGAGGAAGACCGGGGCCCCGGTGGCATGACGGGAGCAGGGCGGATGTGAGTCCCGCCCTGACGTGGGTGCTCCATTGAGCGGCTGTCGGTAAGAGGACCTCGCGAGGAGATAGCACCCCGGAAGTGAATCCGCGGTCCCTCTACTGGACTTCCGCGAGGCCCGGAAGGTGGCGGGCACGGTAACGGGGTCGCGAGGACCTCGGCGAGGAACCGTCGCGATCCAACCCCCCAATCTGCATCAAGCCCGCGTACAGGGCTCCGAGAGGCGATTTAGCATTCGGACGAATTTTTGGAAAAGGCCCACGTTACCTCGGCCTCCCCCGTATCTCGGAGGCCCTCGGCCCGGAAACGGCACGGCTTTGGAACGTGGAGGCTCCACGATCTACCACGTTACAGAACATGGAATCACTTGGCCGAAATGTCCTGCTCCTGATTTTTTGTTACCGTTAAAAGTGGGGTAACGTATATTCATAGCTGAGATTATAAACAATGTTATTCAAAAAGGCCCGTCATGCTCACAAAGTAGACACTGCTATGATGGTAATAAAATTTTGCGAACATAACTTACGACATTAGTTGCTGCACGGCATCACTAGTTAGTTGTTCCTCACATAAATTATTGGCTTCGTTCATGTTATCCATCAGTATCTTGAATGCATTCACGTGCCTGTAAATAAAAAAATATAGGTAATGGCCGGTTACTAACAATGCAGGCAACAATTCATATTTATGTTCCTCTCCTTCTGTATACGTATGCAATACATTTCTAATAGCACAGGATAATTCCTGGATATTTCTTTAAGCTTTGCTAAATATCTCAAGCGACAGATTTTTTAAGACGTCTCGTATGTTTTATGTGAAGATATGTAAAATATTTTGGTTGAAAATCTCAATGACATATTTTTGGATGGCATTGTTAGTAAACATTACACGGATGATTATTTAGACAGTGTGGACACGGAAGAGGACGGTATCCAGTTGGTACACCAACTTATCAAAGTCCGCAGGAGTAGGGGGACTTGAAATTCGCAGATGGTCAAGCAACAGCCCGCAGATACTGTTGGTCGAAAGAAGTGATTAACCTTGTGCTGGATGAATCGGTTACGGAAAGAACTCTAGGAGTCCAATGGAATCCGGCAATGGATTTGCTATCCTTCGATTTTTGAAGGAAGAAAATTCCAATAGATACATCGAATAGAACACGACGACCGACGAAGCGTCAGATGTTAAGAGCTATCATGTCGCGGATTTACGTTTTGTGGAGTGGATTACTTCGGACCGATGGACGTAACTATTGGCCGACGACACGAGAAGAGATGGGGTGTCCTCTACACCTGTCTCACCACGCGTGCTGTATATTTGGAGCTGGCGGCCTCCCCGAGCACCGATTCCGCCATTACGGCATTGCGACGAATAGCCGCTAGACGGGGATAGCCGTCAGAGATTTATTCCGACAATGACACGAAGTTTCGAGGAGCCAACGTGGAACTGCAACGGGCAATCAAACGGATTGATCAGGACATGATAAAAACCGAAACCGGAAACCGGAGCGTAGTGTGGCGATTTATTCGTTCACACGCCCCACACATCGGTGGTATATAATTTCGATATATGTTTATAAATTATTGAAATGAATTATGTCATTGAGATTTTTAACCGAAATTTTAGATATCTTCAAATGAAATCTACAAGACATCTTAAAACATCTGTCGCTTAGGATATTTAGTAAAATTTAAAAACTACATTTAGAAAATATTATGTACTACTAGGGACTACCGTAGAAATGTCATACTCCATTGTGTATATACTTTACCTTAACCCAGTGCAATCTTTCTTTCGGTAGGTGAAGGACACATCCACGTTTCTATAATTCTTTGCGGGTAACTGAAATAAAAAAAGAAAAATAAATTGAACTATTGTCACTAACTACTGGTTTAAGGTGGCATGAAAGGCGCTGACAAATTTAATCGACGTCGATAAAATAGAAATCATCTATAGCCTTTTTGGTGGCAACGCCATTTTGAGTACTGCGACGGCGGCCCTACGACCGCAACTTCCGACCGCAGAACCGGTAATCCGCCGGCAAACTTGGCCCCTTTTTTCGAAATTCGAATCGGATAGCGGAATCGCTTTCCCGATCCTACAAGGGTGTGACAGTCAGTCGGTCAGTCAACACACAGCCGCGTCGATACACTGGTTGCCGTAAAATCACCGAAGTTAAGCGACGTCGGGCGCGGTCGCTTCTTGGATGGGTGACCATCAAGAAGGGGCGTTTCGCCGTTAACGTTGGCGAATAAAAAACAATGGTACTTGACTCTCTCTTTAGTAAGAGGGCTGAAATCTAAAACAAGCAATAAACGAACTAGGGTGCCAGTGGGGTTTTACCGCTCGGACTATGTCTTTTTTCCCGAGTTCCCCGTCCGACCGACTAGCTGCCTGCTAATCGGAGAGTGAGTGGCTTCTGGCCATTAAGGGACGAAGGAAGAAACCTTCGTATCCACTATATGTAAAGTTTAATTAAATAAAAGAAATAAACAAACAGCCGAAATTACAGCCGCCCGGAGTATTCCTTTCGGGCGTCCGGTCCCAGTCGCCTTTGCGTGTAGGCGGCCTCGGGGTGACGACACCTCGCCGAGGTTCTTTTGCGACCCCCCGTCGGAGCCCCACGGGGTCACGGAGTCTCGCGGAAGCTCAGTGGAGGGACCTCGGATTCGCTTTCGGGGCTATAGCTCCAGCCGCTCAACGGAGCCCTTACGCCGGGGCGGGGTCCCACGGTGCCACCGATGCTCCGTCCACGAACCCTGACCTCGTAGACGTGCCTCGGTTGGCCCGGTCGACTCCGCGACGCCCTTAACAGCCCGGAAGAGTCCACGTTCCCTAATATGGCGGCCTGCGCGTGGGTTCTCTTTTGACACGGTGCTTCCGCCACGTGGAGTCACTTGCCTCGAGCCCTTTTAAACCGCGGCCCCGCGGCCTCCCACCGTAAAGTTTTAAACGATTGACCTTTCAGAATATAGTTTCACATCACCTTAGGGGATTTTGTTTATAAGACTTATCTTCAAACTGGGTATATCGAATCGTTTTAAACTTTACCATGTGAATATGAAGACTATAAGGAAGGTCTTGGCACTCGTGAAATTTGAATTTTTTATCATTTGTTCCTACATGTTTTCAAAATGTATTATAAAAAATGAAATTTCATGAGTGTCAGGACTTTCCTTATAGCCTTCATATTTATATTGAAAAATTTGAAATGATTCAATACACCCAGGTCGAAGAAATGCTTCATGAACAATTGACTCTTCGGATGCCACTTTGACATCCTCTTAAATATAATCATACCTTCCAATTTTATTAAACGTCAATAATTACAAAAATATTTTTGCAAAAGAGTTTATGATCAACAACTATTCACAACAGTTCATAATACTATCTGGATATGTAAAATATACGATGTTATATCAGTTACGTTAACAACAATAAAGTGAAATTTTACAATATAAATAGTAAAAAGTTTTGTTATTTTTCCTAGGAAAATGTAGTAAACGTAGAATAGTTAATTTCACTCCTCCCAAAATGTATAGTAACCGTTACTCTCTTTCCTACTTTAAAAAAGTGGTTAATTTTACTTAAATATAAACACACCTTCATCGGTATAGTTGATATCACAGTGACTTCGTGTCCTTTCATTACCAAAGCTTTCATAAGAGCTTGAAATGGTTGTTGATGACTAAAACTACTACTAGGACATATTCCTAATATTCTGAAACTCGCAGATAAATTCGCACACCATAATACCACAAAGAGAATTAATTTTGTACAATCCATAACGGCGTTGATTATTTATCGTGAGCACAAAAAAATCGTCAAGAATAAACAGTTGGGCAACGAGCACCACAGTCGTACAGAAACTAGCCACGAAATAAATATTCCTCTCGGCAATTCGTAAAATGAACAATTCAGTTCATAAAAAGTAACATTACAGTAAATTACGAGTCATGATAACGTAATTGATGAAGAGTGCGTGGGAATAAATACAGTGGAGACATTCAGAAGGAATCTTATCTTTAATTTGAGACTGGAATGAATGCTTTCATTAATTCCTGTTTCGTTAGTCATTGAGAGTAAAAAAAAAAGGGAAACTGAACAGTTTGACACTGTTGAAGCCATTTTTGTTAAGGATTGGATAACGTTGACTCACATTATTAAATAGAAATATATAAGTTTAAATAAGACTGGAAGTATACTCATACGACTTATCATGACTATTTTAGTGCTCGCCAAATAAAATGTTATTTTCAAATTGACTTTCTAATTTTATTTATATGGTTATATTTAGTTTATTTTATATTTTGATTTTATTTTATTAGATGAAATAGAAAACTGTACATTTTCCCAGACATATTATTTTGAGGCAAAACAAAATTATTGGAATGGATGTACTTGTGTTATGTGGGGCAAAATATATTCTGACATTTGGGAAAAATAACAGGATTAGAGTTTTTAATAGGTTGAAAGTACTATTGTATTTGACAAAGTTTTTTTTTCCTACCGAAGGTGTTTTTTTAAGAGATTTCACTTTTTTTTTTTTTAAGATCTATAACAAATTCGTAAAATATATCAAGACCACATCTTCTTTTTTTAGTATTTCAATATAGTATTAAATGGTTTTTATGCGTTCGTTGACTTTATGCATTGCATATTGAATATTATTTATCTTTATTATTTCTACAACTTTACAAATATAATATGATATTAGTAAATACTCTCCTCCTTTTTCATCCGGGCTTATGTAGNAAAAGGTTTGTAATATAACATTGAAATACTAAAGTTAACAATTATTTTATACATATTCACATACACCCTTATTTAAAAAAAAATCAAAACATGCTAAATATTTCGTGCGATAATGGTAATATATTATTACATTATTTTGAATACACATACGTGCACCACTACTTTAAATCTCTATTCTCTGGGTAAGTACTTCATTTTTTGTAAAAGTAGGTGTTCATGTTTCAATGTTTCAATATTTTATTTCACCAAATGTTGACACTAATTTAAAAGTAGAATACTGAAACATGAACCTTTTGTATTTTTATTTTCGTGCCAAAAAATATCATTCAGATATGTATATGACATCCTACTTCTTATGTGTAAGAAGTATCAATATCATGTTCATACAATATTTCGTTAAGTATATTTCGAATATAAAAAACTGATCAAAACTACATTCATCCTGTGTAAAAAAATGTACATAGCACATAAATCCCTATTCTATTAATTTTGAAATATTTTCAAAGAATATTCTATGAACCTCTGAGCTATGTATTTGTGCTGTCTGGGCTTAATCTTACACTATCCTAAAGTTTTCGACACTGATTCAGTATATTTTATAACTACAATATTATTGCTTTCACTATAACATTAACTGTATTAATAAAAAATGTAAGACCACGGTGATAAAATAATGAAAAATATTTAAATATTACACTGTTCGATGACTATTTTTAAATTAACTTCCATTAAATCTATGTATTTTATTATAATATTATTGTAATGCTACATTACTAGTTAATATAAAATTAGTGTAATGCCAATTATCGTATATAATGCAATAAAAGACAACAACATAATGATACAAATAACATCAGTCGGTGTCAATAACATTAGAATGACGTAGAATATTTCATTTATTTGAAAATATGTTTCCGTTCATATGTAAACTGTCCACTGACTTAACACAATTTGTTTTAATATCAAAATTTGATTTTAAAATATTTATTTAATTAATATGATTTTAGTTAAGTTCTACCTCGATACCTACTCTATTTTTAACGTTGATCTCTCCCGAAGACCAACATTAACACAAGCTCATGGTTGTGGCATATAAAATATGTACTTCATATGTGTATGGCCGGTAGGAATTATGTAGCTGCACTTTGTCTAGTCTACCCAACATTTCCTCCTACGATATATTGAGGATTCCTGCCGAACAAAATGAATTAAGCTTGGAATTTGTAACATACACAGTAAGAAGGAAAATACAAGTATGTTACATGTACAACACAAATTGTAATGCTAACTTAAATTTACAGAAAGGTGTATTTATAAGTACGAATGTTACTATATAAATAACCTTTCCGACCTGACTATTAAATTCAATCACCAATCAGTGAATATGCATTATCTAAATGCAAACGACTCTTGGGTATTGAACGTATTTCTTAAATTACATTATTTTTGAATGTACGATAGAGGACGATTCAGGAAATGATTATTTTAACAAGATTAAGAGTACAATGTACAAGTTCAACGTACATTCAATATTTACTCACAATCTCCAATTCTCTGCCTAATGACGATGCTGAAAAATCATTCATCTTTCCTTCTTGTGCGTTTTTGGTCATAGAATAAATAATAAAATTGTGATCTTGTGTTCATTGGTGGTACCAGTCTCTGGTGGTACGTGGTCCACATCTTATTTAGTTGAATCATTTGTAGCATATTCTGCTAAATATTTATAGTACGTCTCAGTTTCAATACGTGTTACAATTTCACCTCCTTTACTGAGGGCCTGGTACATACTATTATTCACTCCATCTGTAAAAAATAATTCTCACAAAGAATTAATGCTATAAAACCTTTACCTTTATAAGAAATGTAATACTTATCTAATAATTTTCAAGAGGATTCGATGCTTTTTTCCTTTTTACTTTCTTGTAAAAATATGTTCGTGCCCAAAATTTCGTTAGCAATTAATATTTAATTTTTAGCCTAGTACATACCTACAGTTTCTCCTAACCTTGTAAATGAACTTTATTCCATTTTGACAGCTCGGGCAGCTTTGAAAAGTTCATAGTAATGTAGCACTTATACCGATCTGAAGGAGATAAGATATTGCGGCACTAAGCGCCGCGGTTCATTTACACTCTGCGAGAGGCGCTGTCGAATGTCATACCAAAAGTCGTATGAAGGTTGCCCTATCATGTGAGTGCAAAAATGGTAGTCCATAACCATCCGTAACTGAAGGGACGACCAGGGACGACGAAGACCAACGATGACGACATTAGAGCAACGATTCTGAGAGTGCTGAAAACTTTACCATGCTATATCTTCACGTACGCAGCAGCAATTAGGGTCGGGTAAATTTTGAAATACTCCTGATTTTTTGCTTGATTTTTTGAGTTGGTCAGAAGATCATTTCATTTTCTATAGCAACGAAGAGATCATAATTCTATTTCCCCCACTCTTGAAATCCTGATCTTTACTGTATATAACTCTGTAGCGTCTCGCTTGGTCTCGCTCGAACTCAACGCGCAGGGCGCGTTTCTCGCATCACTCAACGCTACGAGTTTCTTGATGTACATACATACATACGCATATTATACCCAGCGTTCCGTATGGGTATTCCATTTCCTATGTGGAACACATACATATATATATTTCGCAAATTTGAAATCACTACCTTTGCGCTGAACTTCTGGAATACACCAATAGGTGGCTTCGTTACTGCAAATTTTTCTCGAAAGTAACTACTTCCGCACTATTTTATATATACACAGTTGTAGTTGTACGTGATTAAAATACTTTGAACTATACAAGACATATCCATATTTATCAATTTTTGAGTCTGCTAATGTACTGCAAATAATTTGCTGAAAAATAGATATGAGACAACCTTATTAAGGGTCTGTGAAAGTGGCATACGAAATGTTTACAAAATATACGATGAACGTTAGTTTTATTGAGAATAGTTGTATATTGGTTATATATATTGATGAATATTTGTTGCGTGTTGAACGTAGAAAAACATGTTAATCAACAAACATCAAAGAAAAAAGTTCATTACGCTATACATATAAATCTTAAAATTAATTTTACTAACATATAAGACATGAAAATTTCCTCATCTTAATCAAATTTATCTTTATCAAAAGCATCCATCGATAAATAAAGTTTGTTTTATTGAATATGCAAATGCACATTCATTTTATTTGTATATTGAGATTTTACATTTAATATTAAATTGATGAAAATATATCCGACAATACTATGCATTAATTTAAATTCTGCATTATGATGACATAAAAATTTGAAAATGTAAAAATATTTATACAACTTTTCTACAAACTGGGTGCACCGAATTATCTGAAACATCAACACGCGATTATGGAGGCCATAAGGAAGAACGCGATGTTCGTGAAATTTCATTTTTCGAAAAAAAAAAATGTCTTTTTTTGGTTCTTGTTGGAGATAAATTCAATTTTTTTTTTTATAATAAGTTTCAATTTTTATTTTGATTTCGACTTCAGTTTCAATTTCAATGATTATTTNCACAAAATATTTTCCTTATATTTTCTGTATATTGATTATTAAAACGATCAAACGTGAAAAATGTATTAAAAATGAAAATTAGAATTTAAATGAAGAGAAAATACAATCGCAAGTTGAAATTAATAATAAACTCCAAATACAAATCGTCATAATAACGGAAACGAAGCGAAAATGAAAATGAAAATATCTCTTGTAGCACAAAATATTGTCTTATATTTTCTATACATTTAACGAATATCACACATTTTTGTAAATATTTAGCACATTTGAAATATGTACAAAACATTTACTTTAGAATATTATTTGTTTAATATTTGCATAATACGTGTTTTCGTCATATATTTTTTTTTAGATAGACAAAACGTTTTATTTCCTTTTTGCATTAAGTATTTCTTAAAAATTATCTGCCAAAGATATTGTAAACGTTTTAAAAATATTTAAAATCAAAAATTCAAAAATTGTAAAACCCTTTTGTTGTATTGTTGTAGTTACTAAAAGTCGAATAAACAATATCTTGTAACTAGAGTTGCCCACATTTAAAATTTAACCTATTTATTCAAAAATGGTAAAACCCTTTACAATAAACATTATTAGCATTACTACAAAATTCGTGCAAAATCCAATATTATTCTCAACAATTAAAAACCATTTTAAGCCCCCAATGTATCCAAAACCAACCGCTAAACTTCGTTCCTTCAACATTATCAAATTCTCCATTATTCTCTCCCATCTTCTCCAAAACACCTTCTAAAACCCAACTAAAGATGGTGTCTCGCTTAAAATTTTCACTCCAAGGCAGATCGAATCTCCGTCCTTAAAGGGAACTCTCGAGAGGTTGCCCTGCGCAGTGGGATGCGCGCGCAAGTATCCTGCGCATCTGCGCAGCTCAAGGGAGTGGATACTCGAAGGGGGGTTAGGATTGCCCAGGGACATGGAGGGGTGGCAGGGTTACCGGAATATATCGGAGTTTCTGGATGCCAGTCGACGTCGATTCTGCTATCCTTAAAGTGGGCTGTTCGTCGAGGCTGGAGGAGAAAGATTCCCTAGTAGCGATTATTATTTTGGATATTTTGGGATTTATATGTTTTTAAACGGAATGTTTATGAAAGTTTTCGGCGAACTGTATATCGAAGCGATAGGAACTTTAGCATTCGTTATGGAGGCCCTTGTGAAATTTCATTTTTCATTGAAAATATGTGTCTTTGGTGCTAGTTCGGGAGAAATAAACAATTTGTATTGGAAAAATGAAATTTTAAGAGCTCCACGTTCTTACTTAGGGCCTTTATAATCATGTGTTAAGGATTCAAATTATTCGGTGCATCCAGTTTGGAGAAAAGTTTCATAAATATTGGTTTTAAGGGGATGTGAATGAGTCGTTCTATATATGAAATGGCTAAATGTTTATAATACGTTTCGACAAATTGAAATGTGATTGTGGAGGCAATAAGGAAAAACGTGGTGCTCGTTACATTTCATATTTGAAACAAACACTTTTTTTATTTATCTCAGACTGGAACCAAGTATACATATTTTTTTGGAAAAATGAACATTGATGAGCTTTGCGTTCCTGCTTAGGTTCTCCATAATCATGTTCTGAAGTTTTAAATGACCCTTTCGCATCACCTTAAAGTTTTATGAAAAGGAAATTCGATGTATAAAAAACGTCGAATTGTTTAGAAAGAAAATATATATTAAAAAGAAAAAAATATATATATAGAATAACCCTTAAGGCAATATGAAAGGGTCATTCTAAACATATCAAAACGTGACATTATTTACAAAACTTTTCTCCAAACTATACGCACCGAATTATCTGAAACTTTGACACGTGATAATGGAGACCATAAGGAAGAACGCGATGCTTATGAGATCTCATTTTTCGAAAAAAGAAAAAAATGTCTTTTTGGTTATTGTTCGAGATAAATACATTTTTTTTCGAAAATTGAAATTTCACCAGTTTTGCGTTCTTCCTTGGGGCCTCCATAAAATCGTGATCCAGTTTTAAATGATTCGATGCACCCAATTTGGAGAAAAGTTTTATAAATATTTTGACTTTTTCATATCTATATATTACGCTTTCATATCTTCTTAAAGGGATGTGAAAGAAAATATAAATAAAACATTGTGTGCAAGTAAGGATGGAGCTAATGTTACAGATATACTATAAAAATAACATTCAAAAGTAAACGTTCTGCAAATCCATCAAAAGTCTTCTAAATATTAACAAATATCTCAAAATTCGTTAAATAAATAAAAAATATAAGTAAAATATTTTCTGTACCTAGGGATGGAATCAATATTATCCAAATACATAACTACTATTCCAAAGTAAATATTTCGCAAATCCTTCAATATCTTTTAAATATTTCCAAAATGACCGATATTCGTTTAGTATACAAAAAATACAAAACAAATATTTCGTGCTACTAGAGATGAAGCAATAATTATCCAAATGTAAAAATAGTATTCTAAAGATTTCTAAATATTAAATATTCTAAACTAAATTGTCAATATTTGCAAAATGTCCGATATTCGCTAAATAAATAGAAAATATGTTGTGCACCTAAGGATGAAAGTAATATTGTAGAAATATTTTAAAACTAAAATTCTAAAGTAAACGTTTAGCGAATCTTTCAATCAGTCTTCTAAATATTTACAAAACGCCCGAAATTCATCAAATATATAGAAAATATTTTCTGCACCTACGGATGAAGCTATCGCTATCTAAATGTAAAAATCACATTCTAATGTAAACATTTTGCAAATCCTTCAAATGTCCGACGTTCGTTGAATACACAGAAAATATTTTGTGCAACTAGCGATGGCTCTAATATTATCCAAACACAAACCTAACATTCCAAAATAAACATTATGCAAATATTTACAAAATGTCCGAAATTCGTTAAATAACCAGAAAATATAAGAAAAATATTTTCTGCAACTAGGAATGGCTCTAATATTATGCAAATATAAAATAATACTGCATAGTATACGTCTTCCAACCATCCCCAATAACGCCCTAGCTTCATAAAATAAATCCCCAAAATGCCCTAACTTCATTAAAAAAATCCCCAAAAGGTCCTAACTCTGTAAAAAATGCCCAAAACATAAGTAAGCCATTTTCTGCCCCCAGGAATGGAACACCAAGAGGAGCTCCCGAGCATAGTCGAATTGAATGTGGGAGGCGTCTTCTACACAACAACTTTGACAACCTTAACAAAGGAACCCGACTCCCATCTGTCTTCCATCTTCACCGGAAACTCCCCAGTACCCAAAGACGCAAAAGGGAAGTTCTTTCTGGACAGAGACGGAGTCCTTTTTCGATATGTTTTGGACTTTCTTAGGAACCAAGCTCTGGTGTTGCCGGAAGGGTTCAGGGAAAGGGAGAGATTGAGGCAGGAAGCCAATTTTTATGGACTACCAGGGCTTGATAAGGCCATAACAGATCATGTGGATGGTCCCATACAATGTAAAAAAGCTCCTGGATATATCACGGTTGGATACAGAGGAAGCTTCTCATTTGGACGTGATGGATCAGTGGATGTCAAATTCCGCAAATTATTCAGAATTTTGGTCAGTGGAAGAGTTGCGCTTTGTAGAGACGTTTTTGGAGAGACTCTTAACGAAAGCCGGGATCCAGATCATGGGATGTCGGATAGATATACATCGAGATTCTTTTTGAAACATAGTTTCATCGAGCAGGCATTTGACATGCTGCAAGAACAGGGATTTAAATTGGCTGGAAGTTGCGGTTCAGGGACTTCTGGTGGGAGTGTCGAGCAACGTGGAGGAGACTCTGAAGAGAATCGATGGAATCATTACAATGAATTCGTTTTTGTGCGCGAGTAACCATGTCGCATTTCAATCGACCACAAATCGTAGAATCGAAAGAAAAGTGATGAGAATCTTGCGAAGTTCATTCTCGATCGAGATCAAGTGATGTTTCAGTACTTGTTGGACCTTTTCAGGTGGACGAAGCACTGAAAAAAATCGCTGGAATCACTATAATGAGTTTGTTTTCATGCGCGAGTAGCTATGTCACTTTTCGATGGACCACCATTCCTAAAATCGAGGAGAAGAAAGTCTAAACGATCTTAGGAAGTACTATCTGGCTGATGACGAAGTGATGTTCCGATACGTCCTGGACTTTCTGAGGAACCAGGCTCTGGTGTTGCCGGGAGCATTTAGAGAAAGGGAAAGATTGAGGCAGGAAGCTAATTTTTATGGAGTCTTGATAAGGCCATAACAGATCATGCGGATGATTCCATGCAATGCAAAAGATCAGCTAGATATCACTGTTGGGTATAGAGGGAGTTTTTCCCTCGGACATGATGGATCAGTTGATATGAAGTTTCAGAAACTCTTCGGAATCTCGGTCAGTGGACGTGTGGTTCTATGTAGGGGCGTTTTGGAGAGACTCTGAATGCAAGCCGGGATCTAGATGATAGGATGTCTGATTGCTACGGTTCTCGTTTCTTCCTGAAACAGTTTGATCCAACAAGCCGTTGATATGCTTCGGGAACGGGGATTTAAATTGGCTGGAAGTTGCGGTTCGGGAACTTCTGGAGAGAGTACTGAACAACAAGGAGGAGATTCGTTGGAACCTCTATAATAAATTTGTTTTTGTGCGCGAGTAATGGTTACGTTCAAGTTTCAGTATGTGTTGGACTTTCCAAGGTGGAGATGATTCGAAGGAAAATCGCTGGAACCACTACTATGTCCAGAAACCATGTCGAGTTTTGGTGGACCACCATTAGTACACTCGATGCAGGGTGAAAACGATCATAGGATGGTCATTCTATATCGAGATGAAGGGATGTTTCGGTACCTGTTGGACTTTATCAGGCGGAGGAGAATGAAGGAAATCGCTGGAACCACTACAATGAGTTTGTTATCGTGTGCGAGTAGCTATGCCAAGTTTACCAACGGATTTGGAGAAACTCGTGCCAAAGTATGTTGCGTCTCAACTTGGGTCGTTTCTGCTAACGGATAAGAATTGATAAGCAGTGCAACGCTGTCAACGAGGTTGCTACCTATCGGGATTTACTGCTTTTCTGTTCAAATGAGCACGGATTCGAACTGGAGGCGATCTGGGATCTGTGTTTGCAAGCATCTTTGGAAGAGCCTGAAAGCAAATTAATAAAGCCGACAATTTTTAGGATTATGAACGTATTTGAAGAAACAAGTGCCAAAGCATGTTTCATTTCAACGCTGGTCGTCTTTGCTAATGGATAAGAATTGATAAGCACTGCAACGGGTCAACAAAGTTTCTACCTGATTGAAATGTTGACTGTTTACTGTTTTTTTGGTTTAAACTAGTGCGGAATTGAACTGGAAACGAATTGAGGTCCGAGAGATGATCAGCACCTATTAGGTTCGATGATGTTTAGTTGATTTTCATGTCAATGTGTACGACCAATTCAAAAATCAACAATATGAGGTCCAAGAGATGATCACCACTAATTCCATTCTTTGACATTTATTCGAGCGTCACATAAAAAATATAACCAACTCAATTAACAACAAATTACGATTTTATCCCCGAAAACAATCTGCAGCGATGAAAGCGAGGCCTTCGATGACTGTATTTTTCATTATGTTCATGTATCTCCTTTCCTCTTAATTCATTTCATCGAATCCAAGGTTGCAATAAACAAAATAGACATTTTGGCGATCTTCCTGCTATAATTATTATATATCGAATATTTACAAATCCGAACTAAACTCCATCGAATGAAAAGTTTGCGAAGAATAAACTTTCATTCAACAATCAAACAACGTATTAGAAGTAAACAAATTTGCAATTGTTCTAATAATTATGCAATAACGCAATTGTTGTGAATGACTTTGAAGATAAATGCGCAATCATTAATAGGAAACACGCACGCAGTTATTAGTTATTTATAAAAGAGCACAACAGGGAAAAATAAATAATCTGTTACACTTACGGAAAAATCTGTAAAATATACGGATTTTATACATTCAAATTAAGAACAGGAAATTATTTCTGTTGGCGTTTCGATGAACCTTGGGTACTCAAACCCGTAATAATTACAGATAAATATTTATAACAATTATACATAATTATGCAGGGAAAAATATACTATCATCCCTAGTAGTACAAAATATTTGTCTTATATTTTCTATGTATTTAACGAATATCGAATATTTTAAGATATTATTTTTATAATATTTTTATAATATTAGCTCCACGTGTTTTCGTCATATTTTTCTTATAGATATATAAAATGTTTCATTTCATTTTAATATAAGTATTTTTTAAATATTATCTGCCGAATACATTGTAAACGTTTTGAAAATATTTTAATTCAAAATCACACGTTTTGCAACAATAATGAAATAGCGGAACTAAAATATTGCAACAATTTGTTGCGTTTTTTCATACCAAATGAAATGTCTAATAATAATTGTAAAGTAAAAAATGTATTTTTATTATATGTTCATAAATTTAAAAATATGATTTCGGTACGTTTCTAAATTATTAAAACTAAATATGTTATTGCAATTTTCAAGAAATATTTTAGACATCTTCGAATGAAATCTATGAGACGTCTTAAAAAATCTGTCGCTTGAGATATTTAGCAATGTTTAAAAACAACATTTAGAAAATATTAAGTGCTATTAGGGATGATTGGTAACGTGTCTGATTTATTGTTAGGTTTTCAAAGAGATGAATTTATTACACTGAGAAATGAACAATGTATAAAATATACGGATTTTATACGTTCAAATTAAGGACAGGAAATTATTTATGTTAGCGTTACGATGAAGCTTATGTTACTCAAATCCATAAAGATTAGTGATGATTATTTATAACAAATACATTTAAGTATTTGGAAGCGTTACAAATAAATATCTGTTACACTTAACTTGTTGAATGATTTTAAGATTAGTGATGATTATTTATAACAAATACATTTAAGTATTTGGAAGCGTTACAAATAAATATCTGTTACACTTAACTTGTTGAATGATTTTTAATCTTTATAAAAATAAAATATGAACCGAACATATTTGGTTGCAATTACTTTTTAATTTTGTCTTTATTTGATTGCATTTACTTTCTAATTCTTCATTTTGTTGCATTTAGTTTTTAATGTTGTTATTATTTGGATGCATTTCTAATTTTTTCTTTCTTGTTCTTTTTCATATTATATTGAGAGAAAACAAGTTTTGGAATTGATGTACATGTGCAGTACAACATTTATTTTTATGCTTAGCAACATATCTGATTTGTTGTTAAGTTTTTAAAGAGACGAATTTATTATACGGAGGAAAAAATATCCGTTTTCTCCGGAGAGGGTTTTTCGATTCGTTTCAAACTTTACGATATAAATATGGAGGCTATAAGGAAGGTCCTGAAACTCATGAAATTTCATTCTACAACAAATAATTGTGACCTTGGTTCTAGTTTGAGATAAACAAACCAATTTTTGTTTGAAAAATAAAATTTCAGGAGTATTTCGTTCTTTCTTAGGGCCTCCATAATTGCGTCCTGAAGTTTTAAATTATTTAGTGATACACCTTAAGGTGATGTGAAAGGGTCATTATATATATATTNTGTGTTCCCTTTCAGCTTTAGGTGGACCACTTCGGAGAATCTGGCGACTTCCTAGTGTTTCTTCAATGTTCTGTTTTACATCACGAGTGCGCGAGCCCCCACCAGAAATTCGTTGCGCCGCCCTTGGGGGCAAAAAACGGTGAAAGCTAACGTACGAAACCAGAGGGCAGCACGCGATGCGATCGCGCGACTCTGCCCGTGAGCAATCTCCCAACTCATCTCTGTCTATCTTGATCCACTCCATAGTCTATGATAGTTCGTGACCACGTACATACAACCTGTCGCCGCAGCTTCATAAATATTAAACAACCATCAATTGATTAATAAATGACGAGTAGGAGTTATTCAACGAATTGGACAAATTTTCGTCAGAAATGCGGCGTTCGCAAGGTAAAGGAATTCAAATTTATTTAAATACTCTTGTAACGTTCAATTCAGTTTTAGGTTAGAATCAATAAATCCTCAATTTTAGATTTTTATTCTTCATTGCTTTTCTCCAGGTTGTAATTAACTATTCAGAAATATAGTGCGAATTTTAACAGCTCAATTTCCACGTTATAATTTTTTTTTGCAGCGACTCGTTATTCCCAAGTTTCATGTTATGATTATTTATCCTCTGTTAATAATTCTCATTTCTAACTCATTTTTATAGTATTATTTATTAACTATTGACGAACGAATAACAAACATCGATAATTTAACATTGAAATTGGTAATTCTTGGAAGGTTGCAATTTAAAATCTTTAATCCTCAGTTTCAAATTTTTAATGTTCATTCCTTTTCGCCAGATAGCAATGAACTATCTGGAAATATAATTTAAATTTCAATAACTCAATTACCAAATTATAAGAATATTCTTTTTGCAGGGTCTTGTTATTCCCAATTTTAATGTTATGATTATTTATCCTCCTCTATTATTTATTTAAAATTCTTATTTTCAACTCATTTTTATATTATCATAAATTAACAATTCCACAGTCAACTCATGTTAACCTAACAATATTTATTATTTATACTCTTATGTTGCAATTATTGACCGTTACACTGTAATTAATGCTCCTTAACTTTAAATTATTTATAAACAATTCTAATTTTCAATCAACTTTCAGGTTACAATTATGAACCCCTGCCGAGCACTTCCAGAGACGTCCTGGAAGAGGAGAACGAGCAGATGGCGGATGAACTGAAAAACAAGATTCACGTGTTAAAAGCTTTGTCTATTGACATCGGAACGGAAGTTAAATACCAGGATAAGATGCTCAGGGAAATGGTTAGTAATTTTGTTAATGGAAATGTGGCATCGAAGAGTTCTTGTTTATGAAACTTATCTCCATTATTTAAAATTGTATAAAACTTTCTAAAATTTCGCTTATAAATATTTGTAAAAATCTAAAATTTTCCAAATTCTGATGTCATTTTCAATAGATATGACCGTTACGATGAAGAATAATTTAAGTGTGTAAACATTGTCAAATTATTAAATATCTAGCATTAAATTTTACAATTTCAACTTAAATTTTTACAATTTTAATGTCAATTTTCCACCGATGTCTATTTTATGTCTCATTCAACAACCGAACGTTTAAAATATTTTTACGGTTCCATTTTAACGTAATTTTCAATATATCTTGTTAAGCAATAAAAAATTTGCATTAAATAGTATAATTTCAATGTAATATTGTAATTTAATGTAATGTATTTCTCCTTCCAGGACGAAGACTTTGAGAGAACAGGTGGATTTCTCTCCTCATCCGTCGCAAGAGTCTTAAGGATGGCAAAGTCTGGACACAATTACTACATTCTCTATTTATTCCTATTCTCTGTTGCTGTGTTTTTCATGCTTTGGATTGTCTTAAAGTTTAAATGAAAGTGGTGAAGAGAAAAGGCGATTGTTTTTAATTTAACTGTAAGTGTTAAGCAACTTTATTAAGGCGATGTGAAATTGTTCTTGAAACCTTTCTTCGAATTGGGTTTATCGAATCGTTTCAAACATTTGAATTTTAATATAGAGTCTATAAGGATGGTCTTGAAACTCATAAAATTTCATTTTTTTTAAATTTGTTCATGGATATTTTAAAAAATATGTTTAGATATTTTTAAAATTTGTTATAAACAACGAAATTTCATGAGTTTCAGGACCTTTCTTATAGCCTCTATATGTATATTTAATAGTTTTAAACGATTTCGTTCATTTAGTTTGGAGAATATTTTCATAAACGTGACTTTAAGGTGATGTGAAAGTGGCGTCAAAGAGGATGAAACTTTCCTTCGAGTTGGGTTTATTGAATCGTTTTAAACTTTACAATGTGAATATAGAAACTATGGAAAGGTTCTGGCACTCGTCAAATTTCATTTTTTTATGAAAATGTTTGAATTATGTATAAACAAATTTTCTTAACTCACTTTAGGGGGACGTGAAAGTAGCAGCTAAGATACCAATCGTTCATGAAACTTTTCGCTGAATTGGATGTACTAACTAGTTTCAAACTTTACGATGTAAATATGGAGGCTATAAGGAAGATTCCAAAACTCACGAAATTTCAATTTATTTAAGTTTGGTCATAGATATTTTTATAATTTATTATAAGAAATTAGATTACATGAGTATCTGGACCTTTCTTATAGATTTCATATTCACGTTGTAAAGTTTGAAACAATTTGGTACACCCTGTTTATAAATAGCTTTATACATAGCGCATAACGTAAAAATGTTAATTTTGGTATAAAAAGTACCCGAGTCTTGAATGAACTATGAAAACTATTTAAAAAATGGTGAATTATGAAATAAAAACGTATTAACCGTGTTACACGGAAGTCTACTAGTCTACTGTATAGTTATCGTTACTATATTTCCTAGTTCGGAGAAAAATGTTAATTTTCTTTAGTAGTAACCTTTAGTAGGTAACCAGATGGCAACGTAGGTCATAAACAGTCGTCAGAATAATGAATTGACGGGATTTCGACAGCTTTACATCGATCTTGTCATCATTATTTTACCGGAATGACATATGGAACGCTTCAGTTCGAATAATTATCGACGTAGATTGCAAAAGACTTGAACATAAATATAAATGTCGGGAATGGGACACATCAGCTTATGTACCCACTTAAGTATTCAAAATGACGTTACCACCAGAAAGGGTATAGATGAATTTTAATTTATCGACCTCGATTAAATTTCTCAGCGCTTTTCATATTATCTTAACTTATCTACATTTTCCTCCGAGTGCGGAGTTGCCGCGAAGTGTCGGTACGTCCTCGGGAGTGGTGGAGGGGCCCCCCTCCCTCCAGGGGTGGGAGGGGCGAGTCGACTCCAAAGGTGGGGGCGGTAGAGGGGAAGAGCGTCGGTACGGGGAGTCGACGGCGGAGGGGAAGGGGGAAGAGCGACAAAGTTGCGTTAGAGGGGCGAGTCGACGGAGGGGAAGACCGTCAGAAGGGAGGGACGACAGCGAGGCGTTAGAGGGGAGCCTCGGCAGGGGGAATCAACTTAGGGGAAAACCATCAGAAGGGAAGGGCGAGAAAATTCCGATAGAGTCGTGAGAGTTCCAGCACAGGGTAGAATCGACGCAGGGGAAAACCATCGGAAAGACGTGCGCTAGAAGGGAAGGACGCCATCATACGACTCATGGTAAAACCATCGGAAGCGTAGCCGACAAACTGTAGTCCAGAAAATTTCGACAGAGGGAAAGAGCGTCAGAAGGGAGGGCGATAGAGGGGGCGAGCGTCGGAAGGGAGGGACGACAAAATTCCGACAAAAGGGCGCCCCGGGTTCTTCTCCTTTCCCCTTTTCTACCGACGCCTGGAAGAGGCGTCGCCCCCTTCCGCCCTCCTCCCCCGGGGGTCTGCGGAAATGGAGGGTGCGCAGAAGAGCCGCAACCCCCAACAGTTCGCCATCGACCTCCGTCGGGGAAACACGGGGTTCAACATCGGACGATTTCTTGTCACCCCTTGTGATTATACTCGCCTCTTCCGGAGACGCCGAGGCGTCGCGACGACTGCTGCTCGCTGGGACGAGGTAGTGATTGGGGGACGCGTCGCGACGACGCGCGATGGGTGAGGAAGGGCTTGAAGGGATTTATACGCTTAGGGCGGATGGGGATGGTGCGGGGCTTGACGGGTTTGACGGGTTTGACGGAAGGGCCAAAGTCGGGGAGAAGGGCAAGCGATACTCGACCGTACGGCGGGAGAGTTAGGAGCGAAGGGGTTAAGGGGACGTGAAAGGGAAATTCTATGTATTTGAAAGTTTTCGACAAACTGGGTGCATCGAATCGTTTCAAATTTTACCGTGTGAATGCGAAGGCCCTAAGGAAGAACGTGGTGCTCATGAAATTTAATTAAAAAACAAAATATGTATTTCTTGATATATGTATCTCAAAATATATATAAATTTTGGTTCGAGTCTGGGATAAATAAAAAGAATTTGGTATTAAAAATAAAATGTTAAGAGTATTGCGTTCTTAGCGCTTTCATAAGCACATGTCAAAGTTTCAAATGACCCTATCACATCCTCTTAAGGCGGATGCAGACAGTTCCGGTCTCGGCCCTTTCGACATACGGGCGAAAGTCGGGGAGAAAGGCACGCAAGATTCGGCCATACGGCGGTCGCTTTTAGGCGCATTTAGGAGCCGAAGTGGTCTCGTTTATGAAACATTTCTCTGAACTGGGTGTACCGAATCGTTTCAAACTACAATATCAACATGGAGGCTGTAATGTCCAGACACCCATGAAATTTCCATTTTCGAAGTACCTGTTCGTAGATATTTTTAACATTTTTTTATAAAAAATGAAGTTTTATGAGTGCCGAGACCTTCGTTATACTCTCTATATTTATATTGTAAAGTTTGAAACGATTCGGTAAACCCAACTCGGAGAAAAGTTTCATAAACGAGGCCTTAAGGCGATGTGAAAGTGGCGTCGAAGAGGATGATGAAACTTTTCTCCGAACTGGGTGTACCGAATCGTTTTAAACTTTACAACGTGAATGTGGAGGCTATAAGGAAGGTCCTGACACTCGTGACATTTCATTTTTTTTATAGCAATTATGTTTATATAGCCCAGATTAGAACCAAGAATATAAAGTTTTTTAAAAATGAAATTTCTTGAGCACCACGTTCTTCCTCAAGATCTTCATGATCACGTGCCGAAGTTTCAAATGACTCTCGACTTTAACCCTTTTAGTACCGAGCAACGACATATCGTCGTTTTACAAGTGCTAACGACTTCGACCGGCACTAAAAGGGTTAAGGTGTTATTTAAGGGAAATTATATATATATATATCAAAACGTCATCAAAATAATTGAAATGGCTCGAATTTTCTACAATTTTTAATGTATTCACGACGTTAACACGTCCGTGCCACGTGTACCACCGTGGCACGCGTTAAACTCGGCTGGTACACGGCATGGCACGGAACGTGTTAGTAGGGAATTTTCAATATGGTGGAAATTTAGATGATATTATCAAAGTTCCTCAAATTTGGACAATTTTGAATATATTCCTGGCGTTTATAAATCATTTCCAAAATCCCGTTAATGTAGAACACGATGTCATGATAAAATATCCAAAAGGAAATAAATTCACGATTTTAATTAATTCCAAGATTAACTCGTCAGAGTATTAATTAAATCCTTTGCTTTAGACTATTCTTACATTTAAAAATTTCCGAAATATTATTACAATCCGAATTTTGGAATTTATAGTTCACAGTGGATTAAAAAAGTGAATTCTGCGAATTATCTTCAGCCCCGAATTCGACAACTTCCAAGATGGTGGCGTTTCTTCTCCTCATTGTAAGTAAAATCTGAAAAGTATTTAAATTAATTTGTTTATAACTATTTGTGCATGAATTAAAGTTGTAATTGTGGAAATAAAGTCGTGATTTTATTATACGAAACGTTAAAACTCGAAATTGGATCAATTTTATATTTGATTAAATTAATTGAGCTTAAAGTAAATTAATAAATAATATGGAAAAATCGAAATTAGTGAAATTGCCAAAAATTGTTAACATCGTTGAAAATAATGAATTAAAAATTTCGAAATTGTCGAAATTTATATTTAATTAACATAATTGAGTTTAAATTGATATTCTTAATAATATGAAGAAATCGAAATATAGAAAATTGTCGAAAATTGTTAAGAAGTCTTCCAAAATTTTTCAAACGGAATTGTCGAAATTGGATGAAATTTATATTTAATTGACATTATTAATATTACGAATGAATAGAAATCCAGAAAGTTGTCGAAAATGGTTCGGAAGTTGTGGAAAATGTTCAAAATAGTAGAATTGAAATTGTATAAATAAAATCGCAAATTGATTGTATGAAACATATGGAGCTAATATTATACAAATATAAAAATAATACTCAGAAGTAAACGTTTTTCAAATCTTTCAAATGTCCGATATTTGTTAAATATATAGAAAATATAAGAAATATTCTGTGCTACTACAGGTATATATCAATTCTACCGAGCGTCATTCCTTCCTTTTCGTTCGAAATTCCTTCTATAAACTTTGACGTCGAATTTTCGCCTTTTATTGGACGGACTTTACGTCGAACGGAAAAGGAATTCCGGAAAAACACATCGAAGCGTGTTAAGAGATGGAGAGGGGGAGGAGAAATTGTTTTTCCTAGGACTGTACAGTGGCGAACATTAAGGGGTTGTGAAAAGGTTGTTCTGTATATATTAAAATAAAATGTTTATAAAACTTTTCTCAAAATTGGATGCACCGAATTGTTTTAAACTTGAAAACGTGAATATGAAGGCCTTAGTGAAATACGCAATGCTTCTAAAATTTCATTTTTGATAAAAAAAATTGATTTTATTAATCCCAGACTAGAACCTTGGTTCCAGAATACATATAAAAAAAAAATGAAATTTT